TAATAAGCCTGTTGCCTCCTCAGCTCCAGATTACAAATCCACACCACCACACTCAGCTTAGATGTTAATGCTTTTAGAAATCTCAGGACATCATGACATACCATCATAGTTGGGGTCCAGTGAAGGAGATGATCTCTGAGTCCCTTTCTAGCCATAAAGATGTCATCAGTCAAAATTTTCAAAACCCTCCTTGAACTTACATTTTCGGTAATTCAGGCTGAGATAGCTTCATGATAACCTTCTTAAGTGATACAATCTCCAGCCTCTTTCATGTTGACCATCCGTCTTCTACTAAGGCCTAGAGCTGCTGCTTCAAAATAATGCTCTTGCTCATGACTCCAACCTTGGCCTCATCTTACTGGCTATTAGCCCTGTATCACAAGTCCCTGGAGTTAGAAACTACTGATTCCACATGGGTTTCAATTAAGAGAGTGCATATGAGAGCACTCCATTCTCTGATAATGACTTTATTCTCTCTCTCTCTCTCTCTCTTTCTTTTCCCCCACTCAAAAGACAGAGTAAACCAATATGATGTGACAGGAAAAGTTCAAACATAACACACCAAATAGACCTGGGTTCACAGTCTGTGATGGTTTGAAAGAAAATGGTCCCTAAAAGGAATGGCACAATTAGGAGGTGTGGCCTTATTGGGGAGGTGTGGTCTTGTTGGAGGAAATGTGTCCTGTGGAGGCAGGCTTTGAGTTTTCATATAATGTTAAAGTCACACCTAGTGAGACAGTTTACTTCCTGTTGCCTACAAGATGTAGGACTCTCAATTATTTCTCCAACACCATATCTGCCTGCATGCCACCATGTTCCACCATGATGATAATGGACTAAACCTCTGAAAATGTAAGCCACACCAATTAAATATTTTCCCTTATAAGAGTTGCTGTGGTCATGGTATCTCTTCACAGTAATAGAAACCTTAACTAAGACACAATCCAAAAGAAAACATCCCCAATTATACCTCTCACAGTAAGCCTATTTAAAGATGAATCCTAATTCACTGGGATTCTGTCCTTCTGGTGGGTCTCCTTGCCAGAACTGATCCTTTGTACAATTGCAGTGAAATTCCTCGCCTTATCCCTAGCAGAAATGGTGATGCTTATTCTCCCCAAGATTCACAACTTCTCTCATTAAGGGCAATCCCAGGACTCTGATAACCCTAACAAAAGTCTCCTCAGAGCACTACTTAACCAAGACTACTCAATGCAAGGGGTGAGGTGACTTCATTAGGAAAGCCCCAGGGAAGCTGTTGTATTCCATGTCTAATCTATCAGGTTAAGTGACAAATAGGTGTCTCTTCTTTCCTCATTTCCCCATTAATTATTCAGGCGACAGCTGATGGAACACACACACACACACACACACACACACACACACACACACACACACACACACGGGGGGGGGGGAGGGTCTTACCCTCATATTTCTCAAAACTCTGAAGGATGTTCTTTTTCTATATTAAGCAAGACAAACTTTGCTGTCTGGCCTAGAGAGCAGATTCCTGTTTGCAATGAGCCTGGTGCTTCATTTTCATGCAAAACTGTATTCAAAATTCTCTGTATTTTTAGTCCCTGCATATTGCCAAAGCCCTGAGGGAACATAAGGACAGGGTTTAATTACTCTGCATTTAAAGCACTGTGTCTTAAATGGCATCCTCTGGCCACATTAAAATCTAGCTCCAATACTTCAAGATACTTGATGGCCAAGTCCTATTAACAAGCATGTTATCTCCCTACTATTTATAAGAGAAAGGGTGACAGGGTGGGCTCACTTTCTGGAGCAGTGTTACCAGAGTGTCCTACTAGGGTTAATTAGCAAGTTCAAGGATTTGAAAGTGATGATGAAACCATGTGTATCTGGATTTTGGTTATTCACAATGTTATTGGCTTGTTCATAACCTAACGATTTAAAAACATTTCTCTTTTTAAGTTGATGAGTTACTAATAAAAATACATGTATCAAAAGGTATCCTCCTCTCTATCATTCAGTTGTCCTTATATATCTACAGAGGGCTCCCAAATATTCACCTGCTCTGTGCTCTAGGTCATTGCTTGAGTAATAGTTTACAAATGTTTATTATCTTCTACTCCCCCTCCCATCTACTCTTTCAGGTTCAAGAGTTGACCCTTAATTAAGTTTTCCAAAGAACTTGAAAGTTGTCCATGCTCATCCTAACTGAAATTCTCACAGACCTCAATTCCAAAAATTGAGTCGCTTTTTAATCTCTATGCACTGTGGAAGTGCTTACTTAGTATTTGGTTTATATTAGCTAATATTCTCAGATGGTTCTAGACTAAGTTTTATTCATTCATTTAAATTTCCAGCTATAATTTTACAAAATGTCTCTGTTGTATATGGATCCGGATAAAATACAGCTATGGCCTTTTTTATTAATTTTTTTTATTTATTTTATATACCAACCACAGTTTCCCCTTCCTCCTGTCCTCCTGTTACCTCTCCCCAGCTTCTGTCTACCCCCACCCCATCCACTCCTCCTCTGTTCAGAAAGGGGCAGGCCTCCTATGGGAGTCAACAAAGCCAGCTATGACTTTTATGGTAAAAGTTCAAACTCTACAAAGATTGTTTTTCTAGGTATAATACATGGAACATGTATTGAAAAAGCTTTGGGAGTTTGGACCATATCCTCATGTTTCCTGTGTGCAAGAACTCATATTAGAAGTATTGTGACATGGACAAGTTCTTTAATATCTCTTTAGCTTCAGTTTCATCACTTACAAAAATAAAGACAATACTAATCTGACAATTGTATGGTTATTTGTGGGTTAAGGAGATGATACACAAGCACAGGTCTACAGAAAGAACACAGAGCAAGTAAGTGATTAATAATATGCTAATAGATCTCTCCAGTGAATGGCCAGACATTGAAAATCAAGTGTAGACAAAGGGCTAGAATAAACTTAGGTACTTTGTAGAACGTAAAGACACACCTGGCCCCAACCCACACTTCCCCTGTCACGCTTTCTCACACTGAGGCATTGGTATGTTGTTCATGTGTCGAGGTAGATGTCCTGTGCTGCTGGCAATGACAATGAGCCATTGCAGAGCTTCTCTGTGAGTTATGGCAGCTGTGTGGGCAGAGTCCATGCACTTAGTAATATGCTGCTATTGATCTGGCCTCAAGTCTAAATTTCTGGAGAATTCTTAAATATTATGTAAAGGTGGCATGATAATCCGTCTGTCTGTTGATATCTGTTACTGGCCTCCACACACAATAACATACACACACACACACACACACACACATGCATACACATGAGTATGTATGCATAACTCAAAAGAAGAGAGAGAACAAGAAGATGTCAGAAAATGCTTTGTTAAAACTGGAAGGGAATTGATTCAGAAGGTACCAAACTAATGGAGAAAGAGGAGGAGAAGAATGGAGGAGGAGGAAGAGGAGAAGAGGAGGAATGGGGGAAGAGAAGCAGGAATAGGAGGAGGGATGGAATCCAGGGCAGGGATGTATGAGTGGCAACTATTGGGCAATGTTTGTCCCTCTGCTTTCTCTTGGGAACAGCTGCTGGAGATGGTATGGGGAGTATTAAGGGGCCTTGAACTGTATGAATAGGTCTTTGTTGACTTCAGGCCAATATCAGTTTAATTTCAAGCCATTAAATGTCTAACTTTATTGGCACCTCAGAAAGGCAGCAATCGTTCCATTTCCGTGGCCTTGCTCTTCTTCGAGGCAGGCTAGAACTTGTCCTGTTTGCCCAAGCCTTAGTTAAGTCCTGAGGGAGAGGACAGATGGTGTCATTCTAAAAGCACTCCTGTATTCTCACAAGGAGGCCACCGAGTGGCAGTGAGTCAGCTTCTCCATTCAGGTCTTTGCACTACCCTGGGGCCTTAGCGGTTCTTAAACTTCACACCCTGGTATCTTGCGGACAGCTTGTTCCTTTCAGGAGGCCTGATAGAGCTGAAAACAGACTTCTGTGTGGCTTTAATGACTCCATGTTTACTGAACAGTATTTCACAAAAGGTGGCTCAAACTTGCCACCGGAGAGTAAGGGATAGAGTTTGGGTACCTACTGTCTGGGAGAATCTGGGCCACTGACTTAACTTTTGTGAACATCAGACTCCTTGTTTTGCTCTCAGCGTTGTTATCAAGAGTGAGTGAGATAATGCCTGAGAAACCTGCACACAGGAAGGGCTCCGTAGAATTGTGTCTGTGGTGCCAATACAGCTCCATGAATCCAAAGGTGGGACATGAAAAAATGCACCCAAGATTTCACTTCTGTGATTGTGCCCTGGACTCCTGATGCCTTTGGCAAATAAGATTAACTTGTGGGGTTTAACTAGTGTAGTATGACTAGTGTTGTTTGATTCCATGTGGGTTACTTTCCTTGACCTTGAAAGTCAGTTGGCCTCTTTAGTAAATTGATTGGAGCACTCAAACTGTGAAAAGTCAGTTGTAAATAATACAGTCATACAAATCACAGACATGTAAGCATGTGGGATAAATATTTAAGGGTTAACGGCAGGAGTTCAGGGAGAGAAGATGACCACAAATCTAAACTCTGCACTGGATCTACTGTGTGGCAGATGTCAAGAGAAAGAAGATAAATATCCTTGATAAAGTTTACAAAACAGTACTTTGGAAATGCAAAAAGAGTTATCTTAAGGTTAACATTGCCGAAAGGGGAAGCGTGTGCCTTTGGTCACACTGACACTCCATTGAGGAATGGTGGATACAAGAGACCATTGATTCATCACATCTTTGTCTGATGCTGCTCCAAGATGTACACCCTCAATTAGCCAAAGCAGGGTTCTCCTTTTTCAGCTTCTTAGCAGTACCTATTGCTCTATCTCATAGCATCCAGGGCATTTCATCATATTAAAATAATTTTAAATACATAAATACGTTAGATGAAACTATGTTAGTGATTTTCTGATTAATTGGTAATACTGAAGTCAAATGACATTGCTATTGCAAATCGGAAAAAAAACCCCAACATATATTATACAAAGTTATTTATTAGTTTACAAAAGAGTTTGTTCGTTATACTGAGAAGGAAGGCACAGGGGAAATTCCATACCAAAAAAAAAATTTAACAGTGATAACAGTGAATGTATAAAATACGTGTGGCACAAAACCAGGTTTAAGGGCTTTACATCGATTCCTACACTAGTATCAGGAGGTTGAAAACAGTGAGATGTAAACCGTATGTGGGATATTTTGTGAATGGGTTGAAGGTTTAAGTGTCATCTAGATGAAGTAGAGAAACATATATACCCACCCACAACATGTTCGAGTGTGGTTTTTACTAACTGTAGCAGGCATCACAGCTTGTTTCCCTTTTATAGAAATCATTGGTGGTGGTTGCCGAGGGGGAAAAGTCCATATAGTCTGTGCTGGAGTAGGAGAAGAACTCTGAGGTCCTGATGGCATCCAAATGCTCTGCTTCGCAGGCTGCACAGTAGCAAACGGATGGGGTGGCTGGGGAGAGGTGGTTGTACTGGGTGTGGGAAGGCCAATGGTGGTGGTACGAGTAACCTTCTTCTGGGAGGCTGTGGTTTAGGGAATCCAGAGAAGGAGGAGAAGTGTAATTCTCTGGAGTGTAGGAAGGCGGCTGAGCTGGTGAATAGCTGTAGTCAAGGGAGCCAGAGAGGCTGGAGGAGTCCGAAGGGGATCCTGGAGTCTAGAGAAATGCAAACCAGGAAACAAAAAGCTTGGTAACTTAGACAGGACCAAAAAGACTGAGCAGTGTGGATTTAATTGTGCAAAGTGAGAAAATCCAGGGTAAAAATAAGGCTCAAGCCATCCATCTAAGTCCTTAGAAGTAATCTCATTTGCTGACTGTGTGATTTCACACTACATCCTATTTTTCCCTTTCTCTTTCCCAACAATCAATTGTCTTGCTTCACTGCCTTCCTTTGTTAAAACCATGCTTTGCAGCATGTTTTGTTCTTAAACCACAAAATCTCACTGTGTCTTGGGTCACCTGCACACCAAATCATGCTGCATGCCACAGTATAAGCTGCAGGTGGCACCTTGGATGTTTCTCCACAGCCTTGACCATGAGGAGCCAGGTAAACACACAGAGGTAAAACCTGAGTCTTCCAGGGCCCATCTAGGACACCCCAAGATGAGAAACTCCCCCCCCCACCAACTTACAATCGTCAGTCGTCAGTGTTGGAAACTGAGGGGAAGCTAGGTGTTATTTCCCCATGAAAATATGCACATTCTGTAGATAATTTCCCATTTTCTCTAAATTCAGCCTAATCATTATATAGACTTTTTGACAAACTAAAAGAAAAATGCACTTATATTTAAAACTTAAAAAAATATAAATTTCTAAAACAGAAAAACAATCTTACTCATTTTAAAGAGAACATACATTTGAGATCCATCAAGAACAGAAAATCTAAATTCTTTCAAAGATTAGGACTTATTTTGGTCTTTGTTTGAGGAAAGGACTCTTGTAGCTTAGGCTGTACTTCCACTCACTATTTATTTAGCTGAGACTGGCCTTGAACTCCTAATCCTCTTGTCTATGCCTCCCAAGAGCTGGGATTAAAGGCATATACCACAGGACTTTTTTTTTTTTTTTTTAAATCAGGCTTAAATATGTCCCTTTGCTTATGGCATAGCAAACCAACCAGTTAGTAGAGCCAATTCAGCAGTTAAACCAGGCACCATTAGAATATTTGGTAACACACACACACACACACACACACACACACACACACACACACACACAGCCTCAATCCATTGTTTAAACTATTGATTTCCAAATTAACAGATGTCTTAACTGATGTTAAAAAAACATCAATGGAGTAGCACCAGGGGACCTTTTTATTGCCAGACATCCATTTACTAGGAAATCATAATAAATGTGTATTCAAAGGTTTATGCCCTTCAAGGTGCCCACACATTGAACTTTAAATGCTCCCCTGACTATTTCCTTGTTGATAACATTTGTAAGCTTTCTCACGAAATGATGCAAAGCCTTCTACAAAGTATCTCTACCCCTCAGTTAGCAACCATCAGGTTACAGGAAGGATGCAGATGAATTACCAGGCTCTGGTTATAGCAGAAAGGGGCCACTTGACAGCTGTCTGGGAAATAGTGGGGAGCACTTTGCATGGAGTTGAGCAAAGGGCCTGGGAGTGTCTCTGTCTGAAGGTAGGACTCAAAGATCTGGTCAAGGCAGCTTGAGCTTTCTTCACAAGGGACACAGGTGGAAAATTCTCTGGGTTGAAAACAACTGGGTGTGGAAGACATTGGTTCGGGTTCAAAATACAGTCCTAGAAGAGAAAGAGAAATGATTTTTGCTTAAAAATTGCAAAGTAGATTTGAATGGAGTTTTTTTTCCCTACTTACTATGTTTAGGGGGGAAACGGTGATTGGGAAATTCCCTAAGAGCAAACAGCTTAATAATTTGGACTGTTTCAGTTGTCTTGGGTTAATCCAAGTATCAGGGAAATGAATCTGATCAGTAAGATGATAGGTGGCTCTCAATATGGTTAGGGTAAAATAAAAAAAAATGCATTTTGATCTAGCCTGCATCTGAATGTCATATTTAAGGGAAAGCACACATCTTCAATTTTCAGAATATGAAAGCAATGACATCTAAACTCCTTTTGCAGTTCAGGGAGACTTCCCTGAAGCCACAGATAGATTTGTTTGGGGCTTTGGGAAACCTGATACTATACTCTTGATTCAGGCTTGCTGCTTTCCTAAACTTTTCATGTAGTAACTAAAAATTGTTGAGGAGAGGGTTTTGAGAAATGACATAAGTAGTAATGTTTTAGTGCATACTAAAACTGGAAACCTAGAATGTAGAGTACAAAGTATCTTATTCGTAGAAATGTCGAGAGAGAGAGAGAGAGAGAGAGAGAGAGAGTGTGTGTGTGTGTGTGTAATAGTAATAAAAAAAGTGATACTGAGCTGAGGAGAATAATCTGACAAACATCACCTCTTTTCATGTTGTTATGAGTAGTCCCGTGTGTGAAAAATCAGTCTCAAAGGCTCACGGGAGAGGTTTAGAGAGAGAAAGCCCATTAAGGGGGATATAGATTTCCCAGGCTCCTCTCAGGTTAAGTTAAAGTGACATATTTGGTGGGAACTGTCTATATGACCTCGTTACATCTCAGCTACGCAGATGTGTAGGAAGGAGTGTTTATGTAATAGAGTTATTCATATTGGGCTGGGGAAACTTACACTTGTTTGAACTGCTTTCTGGGAAGAGTAAAGAGTGGGAAGGGAGCCCCTGTCGGCTAGACGCTAAATGAACAGGAGCAAAGGCATCACTCTGGATATTCTGATCCCTACTCAAAGTACACCAAGGCAACAAAATGCTGAAACAAACCTTGATTTCATAGGGAGGTTGAGTTGCTTGGAGATCAGCAACTGGGATAAATGTGAAGGATAAAAGTCTTGGGACAGAATAGACAGTACAGAATGAGGGCAAAACCATTTTCTTTCCTTGCTGGGCTTGCATCTGGAGTCACCTTCTGATTGGTTGGATTCCAATTAAATGGTGGTGCCTCTCTTAACCCTTGAGTCAGGCTCTGAAGGGCTTCCGAGGTAGACTTTTGAAAGGGGTTGAGGGAACTGTAAAGCTGGCTGTACTGACCTGCAGATGATGGCGTGCTGGGGTCTGGACGGTGGATACTGCTGCTTCCTGACAGCTGTCAAGGCAAGAAGAGAAGCTTTGAAGCAAAGGAAATCAAGCGCTGGCTTCAGGGCTACACTGGGGAAGCTGGGCAGGGGATTCTCCTGCTCTGCTGAGGTAAGCCAGACTCCTAAGAGCATTGACTTCTTTAAATAAAGCCAGCATTATATGTTTTAGACTTGATTTCATATTTGTATATTTGGGGATTTTGTCTTTTTCTAACGTCATATTCCTTGCTAAAATGTTGAGTGATTAATTTTGACAAAGATAAAGTAACTAATTTTTGTTACAGAAGTAGAGCAATTCAAGAAAACTCAGCAGGCAAAAACCTTTCTATTAAGCATTTTACTTTATAATGAGTAAGAGTTAACATTTACTTAACCCAACTATGACTTTAGCTAATACATTTCCTCAAAGTTAGTATCTACTACTTAGTTTCTTAACTAGAAATTAATTTCCCATAAAGAAATGAATAATAATCAGACATTGTTTCTAAATTTGTTAAACCCGAGAAGCTAAAATATTCACATTTATGATCTTTAAATTAAAAAAATAATAATAATCTTGAAGTTGTGTTCAGTGATTCAGAGCCTACAAACATCTGAGTTCATAACCAGAACAATTTCAGATCTTTGCACATTTTGAAAAACTGTTTTCTATATAATTTGCTTTAAAATTACTGTATCTAAATGCTGAAAATTCATAAGGCTGAGCCTTTCAAATACTTAAAGTTAAGCAGCTTGCCTTTTCCAGTTGAAAGGACAATTATACTAAAGGAGTCATTCAGGATTTTTTTCTTTTAGATTTCAGGTGGTGGCTTTAAAGTTTAAAGGGACCAGCGAGCACTATTGTTGCTCTGGGCTAGGAAGCCGAGCTCACCACACCTCTCTTGGGTTGCAGGGGGATACTCACACTCCTGTGCCCTGAGCCACCTGCAAGCGCTGCACAGCCAGCCACTGCTCAAACAGGAGGTGTGTTAATTTTGAAAACGATCCATGCTGTAATGTCATGAACCAGGAAGCTGGAAGCCTTTACCTGCTCTTTATGCAAATATTTGACTGCAGCTTGAGCTGAAGGACTTGGAAGGAACGGGTCTTTAAAAAAAATCTGCTCCATTGTAGAGCAGGCTTTTAACCCCCTGCCTCCCCCAATGGTCTGTTTAGCTTGCTTCCTTGTTAGTGCCAGGAGGTATGTTTACAATACCCTACTGATACTATCTTTCTAGCCCTTGGTTCACTTTCTACTTTGCTCCAAGAACACCAAGAGTGGCTCCTTTCTTTTAGATTTCAAATAGCATGTAAAGTCATAATCAACAGTTTATAAAAACACATCAATACTATTAAAAAACAAAACACAACTAATGCTAAAAATAATTTTTTATCTTTATCTTTAGATAAATACTTGCTCAAGTTTTTCTTTACCTTAAAGGCAAAAAAAAAAAAAAAAAAAAAAAAAAAGTGGTGTGTGTGTGTGTGTGTGTGTGTGTGTATGTAAAATTTGATATGACTGCAATAAGTTTTTAAAATTAAAATTTCCAGTTTGATACATATAGTTTCTTCTGATACACTTAAGACCTGGATATCTACCTCAGCCTATAACTATCATTCATGACTGCTTTCTTAAAGCCTATAACTATCATTCATGACTGCTTTCTTAAAATTTCAGATACTGCTTTGACTTCATAACAAAAACCAAGACAGATTTATTTTTGCTTTGCAATATTTGTCAAAATTAATTCTCTCCTTGGATTACTGTTTTCCAGAGTTTTTAACACTGAAGTTCGATAGAGTCTCTGTTAAACTAGGAAGGTCTGCATGAAGCAGGCACACACATTGTTCTCCCTGGGATGGTATCTACCACCCTTGCTGGCTGGGGCATGACTAGAGTTCTAGAAAGATCAGGGGTGAGTGGGAACCTCCTAGGAAGCAGAGTTGAGCATATTCCAGCAAGAAGTGTATGTTCTAGATAGACATTGCTTCCAAAGTCCCTCTTCATTCTCACAGGGAACTCAGAAAATGTCAAGTCAGAACTCTCTCAGGAACAGAACCTGGTCAAATACTTCCTCTTACCCTCCACTTTGCTATGAGCCTTCAGTGGTCACACCAACAGTGACGGTATTGCTTTGCCTAAAAAGGAGGGATGCTCTGGGTACAGATGAAACAGCTCTGACAAGTACCAAGGCTCCTTGCTGAAAGGTTACATTTTCTTGGTTGACTGACTTTTCTGTCTGGAGAAGCCCTTCCCAGCTTCCTCCGTCCTGGTTTTATTAATGGTACAGCTATGAACCATTGAGGTTATTAAACTGTGTCTTAGTGTGATGAGTTTAGAGAGCCAGTACTGAAAAATAAGATTATCCTGGCTCTGCCTTTTTAGCTTTTTGTCAACTTAGAGACTTTGGATCTTAGCTATCATGGAGGAATACAGTTTTCTGATCTATTTAGGTCATCTGATCATTACAACCAAATGAAATACTGAATGCCCAAAAGTGCTTAAAAATAAATTATTTAAAAAAACAAAAATAAAACAAACAAACAAACAAACAAAAAAAAAAAAAAAACCACTGCAAGTACCCCTTTACAATACAAGGACATTCTACATTACCTGAAATTCTGCAGATGGAGATAACTAATTTCCCTAGCTGTATGTACCAAATCATAGCAAATATACTTGCACTCTGAGTTCTGAGCAAAAGGTATAATACACATTAGTGTGTCCTGGCTGTTCATCCTTGGTTGGAATTTATTTCAGTGATCTTTCCCAAATAATGTCTATCGTGTACTCACTGTGGAAAATACTGTTCTAAGTACTCGTTTGACCCTTACACAGCTTTATTAGCTTTCAACTGAAAGGTGAGGGGACAGAAAAAAGAGAGTAAGTTAATGTGTTGGTAGATATGAGCCACAGAGTTACTGAGAACTAAACCCAGTTCCTCTGGCTCAGAAACCTATCCCACAACTCCTGCATAGTTTCTCCCTCCCATTACTAGAGGTGCCAAAGACCCTTCCATGAAGTCCTACTTGGAACACAAACAATGCCACATGCAGATGGGGCCCAGTGATAATTAATGTGATTGGAATCCTAGCTCTCCGATTCTCCGTCCACACCCATGTCTACCCACAGTGTCGTGCTGAAGGCTCTTCAAGTTGACCTTCTTGGTGGACAACAACACCTAGCATATACGGTTCTGCAGGGGCCCGGAACACTCTGGTAGTATGTGTGAAGTGGCAGGGTACCCTAGGACTGCCCAGATGAGTTTTGTAACAGTTCTGTGTATTTTAGAGATTGGGTCCTTTTCTTCTGGAGACATCCAGTGACTGGTGATTTTTCACATAAATAACCCCAGAGTCTACGTTTGAGAGAAACTAGACGGGTTTCTGGGAGAGATTTTTTTCTATGAGTTTGTGGGGGCTATATCTATACTCTGTCTTAACACTGTAACACTGTACTTACCTGCTGGCTGCCTCTCTCCCTCGCAGAGGACCAACAAGTCTTCCACACTCAATTATCAACAGTGAGTGATGAGCCTCCCGCCACCCTGAGCCCTACATGTCCCGCATGTTTTTGTGGCTGCCTGTGGTAACCTGGGGCGAAGCTGGGAACAGACAGGGCTGTGCTTGTGGGTGGCCTCTATATCTCCCCAGACACAGGGCTGAATAAGGCCTACCATGGACTTGGGAGTGAGGGAGGGGGTTGTGCTTACAGTTGCCCCTGAGGTGGCCTGGTGTGCCCTTCTTTGTTGCAGTAGCTCTTTCACAGTCATCTTCACGCGGACACCTTGATACACCTTCGGTTTTTCTGGGGGAGAGGCAACCGGGTCAGTGGTCAGTCCCAAAGTTTGGGTGTCAAGGGGAACCGTGAGGATCCCATTGATAAGGCTAGGACAGCCAAGGCCAAGTTTCTATCTTTGTAGAGCACAAAGAGAATCACCCACATTTCTCAAGCTTGAAGCAGGCTGCTGCTGCTTCAGGGTCTTAGTGGGAACGGTTCCCATGGGCATCTCTGAAGTCATTCACCCCTAGCTGGGCCTCATCCTCATACAGTACAAGTTGTGCTGCTCTGGAATGTGGAGGCAGGTCCAGCAAGCCTACTGTTTTGGCTAAAACAGTAAAATTTAGGGCTCTGGATGAAATTGTGAACCTGGGGAGCTCTCTGATTCAAAACAGCTCACTTCACACACCTCACCATAATGTTCATATTGTGAGCCCCCCCCCCCCCACTGTATTCTTCCATCAGGCATGGCTGCTGGGGAGGTGCAACCATCAGTTGTGGTGTCCTTGGTCTGGAAGCCAGCATCACCCCCCCCCCCCAATACAATACAAGGATCATAGGTTTGGGCAGTTTGTCCAGGCCCTGTGAGGGACTTACTGGACTGATCCCAGAAAAGGGGCCAAGCCCAGGGGATTTTCTCCAGTCAGTCCTTGCCTTTTTTTTTTTTTTTTTTTTTTTTTTTTAAATTTCCCTTCTTTCTCATCCCCTTTCTCCTTTCACTCTAAGACTCTGTCGTTCTCTTCATCTCTCTTCCTACCCCTCCCTTTCCGGGACAGGTATTTCTCAGAGAACTGTGCTATGGAGAGTTCTCCAGCTAGAGCTGCAGGTCTGAGTAAAGGCATCCCGAGGCTCCCTAGGACCGCGCAGTCTCCTGGAGGCCGCCCTCCGGAAGGGGCCGCCCCTGAGCCCGCAGAGCTGAGCCCGGTGGCCTGGGTGAGCCCAAGTGACCGGCGGCGCTAGGCGGGGGTCGGCTGGGAGGGACCGGTGACAGCTTGGGGGCCAACCCCGGCAGAGCACAGTGAGTAGGTCTGGCTGGGTTTTAAGCCAGGTTAGACCGGGCAGATGCACTTTCCAAGTGGGCTTTGTCGCAGAAGCCCAGAGTGACTCCTGCCCGCCCCGACCTTGGCCCTAGAGAAAGCGCCTGGGAGTCACACGGGGAGGGGTGGAGCGCAGTGGCCCCTGGCCTGGGCGTTTGGCAACAATGCCAGGCCGCCAGCGCCTCGCCTGGTTAGTGCAGGGACCGCGGCTAGGCAGCTGGGAGACCCCCACCCACAAGCCAGATCCTGAGAGTTAGGATCCTGCAGGAAATCTGGTGCGCTATTCTTTTCGATCCTGGGAATCGGGTGTCCCGCGGTAGTGCCAGGGCGCGCCCCATCCGCTTCAGTCTCCTTCCCTCACACCCCCACTGCCTAGCTCGGCTCTGGGATCTGCAGACAGCGGGCGCGCCTTGGGGTCCACACGGAGACAGCCCCAGCCCAGCTCCCAGCCGGATGCGTCCTTGCTGCAGTCCAAGGGCTCACCGTGAGCCTCTAGCTCCCCCCGCCGCCGCTTCTGGGCGCACAAGATCGGCGCTTCCAATTCCCAGGACGCCAAGGTGGAAAAGTGAAGGCACAGCAGGGGCCTGGGGTACGCGATTGTCCGGAGCAGCCACTTGGGCCTCTGGGCCTCAGCCTTTACCCAGCGGGAGCCGACACAGCGGGCCCGCGCCCTCTCTGGATTCATGCCCGGCCCTGACTATCCTGCTCTGACTTTGTGACTCTCTGTTATACGCAGGAAAAGCAGAGGAAATACACCCGGATCCAAGTGCCCCTGGCCCTCATGACCCGACCCCTGGAGAAGCAGCCGAGTTACCCGACATCGTGGTCAGCAGGAGCTGGGCTGGAGACTGGATGCTGCAGCTTCAGAAACTCAGCACCTAGGAAGGCTCCTGTGCAGGGAGAAAGGCAGAGATGCGACATTTTTAAAGTTTCACAAAACACGAGGCAGCACCCAGGTCCCTGAAGTAGGAGACACACAGAATTAATGTTTTATACCTTCGGGTATAGGTTTGAGTTTTTTCCCCCTCATGCCAAGTATTTAAAACCTCTAGAAACCCATGATTTGACAATCAATGATTGCGCGATACTTTCAATTTGAATATTCAAAGGCTTAACAAAATGGACTATCTTCTGCAGAAATCCTGCACACAGGCACCCCACAGAGAGTCCAGAGAAACAGGGAGTGAGATGCCTTTGGGTCCTGACCCTTGCTTTTCTCCTATTTTAAACATTTTCCCCACCTTCCCACAGACTGAGCAGGTGTCTTCGAAGATGTTCCATATTCCTGCCTCAAAGGCAGCTCAGAAGCCCCCACTGACCTAGACTGCTCCTCAGGGGTCACTAGAGCCAGGTTGGCTACCCACAAGGATTCTCACCTGTCCAATCTCCCTTTTAAGGAAGAAATCTCAGGTTTTGGAAAGTGAACATGGCAGCCAGTGGGTGTGGCACAGCAGAGGATCACTTTGGGCCCAGTTGGCAGGCCAAAGGACAGCAGAGGCCTAAGCTTTGCACCTAATGTTCCCCTGGCCCTGCCTGGCTGCTTGTGGGCTTCCTTTTCGGCCCATCTTCCCTCCTGCTAGGCCACAGACACTGGGCTTCCAGCAAGCAGTACTTGTGCATCAACAGTTCCTCTGCTCTGTGCAGAGCTGTGGATCCTCACCACTGCCCTGGACTGGCTGAGATTCCTCTAGGCTGGGACTCCATCACTGCCCTGCGGCATTCCAGACATTGTTTTTCTCCTTCTTCTTCCTGTGCAACCCAGCCTTTTTGCCTCATAGCACCCCCTGCTTCTTTTAGAGAAGGATATGAGGTTTATTTTGAAGACTCTGAGAAGAGAGGTAGCAGGGATTTGGAGTCAAGCTGCCTCCTTGTACCCTTCACAAGTACCCCAGCACAAGCTGATGCACACTTTTTGAGCACTGCCTGGGTTGCTCTCTGGCCTGCGATTTGAAAGATGGGAGAGACTGGGTAGAATGGCAGGCCAAGTCTCCACAGAGAGACAGAAGGGTCTCCGTTGCAAAAAACTAAGTATTTCCAGGAATGCAGATAAAGTGATAGTACAGGGTTCTATTCTTTAATCCTTGAGTTCTCTGGAAAAAAAAAAAAATAAGCTTTAGCTCCAAAGACCTTTAGAAGAAACCTGAAAAATTAAAATGTATCAGATACAGTGCATCTGATACAGTATATAGGGTATAACCATCAGCTCAGCTAAAGGGTTTCTGGGGATAATAAAAGCGTGATGAGTAGAGCTGTCTGTCAGGCAGATGGAGCCACACATCTGGGAGAGGATCAAGGTTCGGGACACTCGAGGTAGCACCTGGTGGTGGAGGGTAGGGTAAGGTGTGACTGTATTTGGTCCAGCTGGCGTTTATCAGCCACTGGAGCCTATTTCTGCAAAGCCAGGCCTAAGGATCAGACCAGGGAAGGACTCCAGGATCTGAGGGGAACCCCCTTGCTGGCACCACTTCCTTCCTGCATGCGGTGTTTCCCATTGCCTCTTCTCATTTTTTGTCTTGGTCTTATTTTTGCTCGCTTTTAAGAAGCTTTCCTCTTTGTCCCTTTGGCTTTTTTGTTTATTCTCCCCCACATTTTCTAGTCCTTGTTTTTCTTTCTATTGGTGCGTTTCTTTATTTCCTGTCTGCACTCTTTCGCTCTCTCTCTCTCTCTCTCTCTCTCTCTCTCTCTCTCTCTCTCTCTCTCTCTCTGGCTCTATATGTGCCTCTCTCTTTGCCTTATTCTGGAGCGCTGCCTCATTGTTTCAGCATAAATATTCTTCCTTAGCTCTCCTCTCACATACAAACAAGCAGAGGTGGTCTGAGGTCACCGTTTTCCCTTGGCAACATCAAGGACATTAATGGTAGTGACTAGATTCTCCAGAGAGAACTTATGCTGGAAGATGCAGGCTGCTTTGAAGGCTGGGGTCTGCAGAGACAACAAAGAGCAAAGAAATCTGCGTATTTTTTTTCTCCCACAAGTCTTTGCCTGACCTATGGCTACTGTCCTGGAGCATCTGTGTGTTGGTGCTGTTGCTGAGACTGAGAGAGTCTCTTGCTGCTAAGCAATTACAGAAAACTATTTCCCCAGGAACGTGTTGGGAATCTTCCCCCGCCATCTATACAACAGGGCAACCAAACATTAAGGGATTTTGATTCTTGTTCTTATAACAGAAAAGCCCCAGAACAGACATTTCAGAACCAAAAGCCATGTTTGAGGAGGCAAGAGACAATATTTCCTCAGTGGAGCTTCCTTTCATCTCTCTCTCTCTCTCTCTCTGTGTGTGTGTGTGTGTGAGAGAGAGAGAGAGACACACACAGAGAGAGACAGAGAGAGATGAAGATATCTAGAGCAACCAGCCATTTTTTAAATTTTTTAATTTTTTGCCCAGAGATTCAAAATGCCTATAGACCTGAGCACTCTTCTTGCTCATTCATTCATTCATTCATTCATTCATTCATTCATTCATTAATTTTGGTGTTGAGATAGAATCCAGGCCATTCTCATTCTGGGTAAGCACTCTACAACTGAATTACAATCCCAGCCCATAGAAGATTATTTAAAGTTCTTATCTGTTGTTTCCTGGGTGCTAGACCTGTGTTGTGCAGTATTCTCACTGTACAGTTGAAGAAGCTGACTTAAAGGGATGAGCATCTTGCCAAGCTTAGCAAGCATATAAATGTCAGAGCTGGGGTTCTGTCTTTTCCAACTTTCTCACTCCAAAGTCTTTGCTGTATTATCAGTTTGTTCAAGGAGCTTAGACTACAGCACAGGGATGTGAGAATATTCTAGAAACACAGAACCCAGAAGAAGCAACTGGCTAGAAGTGAAGACAAGGTGTTTATTATGCTGATTGTGGTTTGCCTGTTGGAACAGGACCCTCTTCCTGGGGGCTTGTTGCTTCTAGGATGCCTTCCCTGAAGCCCCAACAATCCCTTTGAGGTTGGAATAAGAAATTGTGGGGTCTGACAGGCTGTCACAGGCCCTGTTG